TTGAATAATCAGAAACTGGAATGGATTATTGGTTCTTGGCGATCAGAATTCTCCGGAAAGGTTTTATCAATCATTTGAAGTTTTTTTTTTTTTTTTCCTCTCTCTCTCTTTTTAAATATTTTCACATGGTACTATTTGGATGATTTTATTACTTCGCATACAGCATTTATATCAGCACATACATACATCACAATCATTTTAACCTCATTAAAAATATCTTGATTGATACATTTCTGGTTTTCTTTAGGTGTTCTGGCCAACAGTACCGACAATGACATTTGGTGAAGAGTTAATTATTGCAGAAGCACCACTTGCTAAATCTGTTAATATACAATTTTTGAATTTTAGGTTAGTTTTGAAATACAGTAATTTAAAAATTTTGCATACCCTATTTAAATATAATTTAGTTTAATGATTATCAGTAGTTTGCTTTTAGAAGTAACAAGTGCGTTGACACTATCATAAACGAACTTTTAATAAATATACTATGATTTTTTTTTTTTCTTAGAGTTTATCTTTCATGAAATATTTCATAGAAAATTTTTTAACATTTTGATTGGTAACTTTATAAAATTTAAAAATTCATAACTGACATATGGATTTTAATTCATTTAATTTGTAAAATTTGAATGATGTGACAATAAGAGCTATTGCATATCATTATTATCATATTATGTCACTAATAATTGTTTAAGCTTTTGATCCTTTTGGCTCTTACACCTATGAAGTAAAATTACGGAAAACTTTATAAAATTTTGTCATTTCTATAAACATATTAAAATTGTAATTTTTAACTGCACAAATTTCTTACTTTGCCAATACTTGCATATTCGTTAATAGAATGCCATTTATCAATGATAGCTCATCTTTCATGAAATATTTCATAGAAAATATTTTAATATTTTGATTGGTAATTTTATAAAATTCAAATAATTTTGTTGAATTCAGAAATTCATAACTAAATTTCAACTCATCCAATTTGTAAAATTTGAATGCTGTAAAAATTGAGCTGGCTGAATTTTTCAGTAGGGTTTGTGTGATTGCTGCATTAATAAACCTTTTTTCTTTTTTTTTTGGTTCAATTAAACCAAATGATTCATTTCGCCGAAATGGTTAATTAGCGTTTAGTGACTTTTTTTTCCTGCTGTATTGAAAAAATTTTTGTGACTATTTCGATGATTTTTTTCCTTATCATACGTTTATTTCTGCTCTAAAAATTCAACATGTTGATGAAATTGATGATACCTGACGTTTTTTTTAGTTATCATTGATATAACCTCTTTGACCTTGTCTACTTATCATTGGTCTTTTAAGTGATAGTGTCTGTTTGTGCTGTTTGATCGTTCAAGAATCTACGAATCATATCGTCTTACAATATGACTAATTGAATCGTTTATAAAAGCCTGAGAAGAAATTAAAAATGAAAATGTTGATTGATTGACCTTTTTTTTTGGATAAATATAGAAGGTTAAAGTTCCTTTTTTACTAAATTTATGCATTTTATACTTTAAGATTTACCAAATATAACCCAAATAAATTTGAAATTTTGACTAAACATCAATCATTGCCTTAAAAAGATTTGAGACCAACATCAATGATTTATTAACACAAAATCAAAATGACGAATTAGATCGAATCGAATCGAATTTAATCCAGTCTTTCAACATTTATATTCATTTTTACCATTTCTATTCCGTTCCAGCGATCATTTTTCATCGATCATTTTCATCCAACATATTTATTTAATTATATCTGATGATAATACTTTATATTTACCATCATTTATAATTGTGCTGTAATTTTTTTTTCAAAATATATCAAAAATTTTTGATTGTTTTTTTTTAACCCTTTTTTTTTCCCTTTTGGCCTTCTTGTTATTCATTCTTGAAAAAAGACCTTAATAGTGTATTATACAGTAATATTTTTATTTCTTTTGCTTTTTTTTTCCTTCCTAAATGATTAATTTTAATTTTTTTCACAGCAATAATTACTTGATAATCGATAAATGTGAGCAAAGAACATAATTGCAAAAAATTTGTAAAATTTATGAAAATTTCTTTTCTTTTGTTTGTATCTTTTCATTTGATAATTAATTTTCAGTTTTTTTTTTTGTTCTTTTTTTAAGTGCACGTGCATGGTCGCATACAACCAAGGATCATTTTCATGATGAATGGGGATTTATTACTGTGGATCCATTTGGAAATGCTACACTGATGACAGCGGGGAATAACGGTCATCAAATTCTTTTATAAATTGTTCATTTCAAACAATTAAGAAACATAAAGAGAGAGAGAGAAAGAGAAAAGAAGGAAAGAGTGCATGTTATTTGTACTTCTAATACAAAAAAAAAAGAAACAAAATATATTTATATATTGTTTACTATTTAATGTAATTTTTATTTCCACTTCAAATTTATAATAGCGATTTGAAATTTATAACATATAGGATTTACAACTTATGAAGTGGGAGAAGTTGCACCAAACAAGATGATTTTAACACTGAAAGATATCGGAAGGATTTCATTCTCCAGGGATCTTCCAGTTGAAGATGTAAGTCCCATAACTATCAATTTTTCAAATTGTTTACTTTCATTTTTTTTCTTAGAAGTTAGTTATAGTTATTATGAGGAATAGAATTACTTCATGAAACAAATTTTGAATATTTATGGACATTTTTATTACATTTAATAATTTATGTATAAAGTTATAAAGATAAAAAAAAAGAAATAAGAAAAAAAAGGAGAAAAATCTACAAATTATGTACGCAAAAATTGATGTTTTAAATTTATTCTAATTTTGTTTCAAATAAAATTTTTAAATAGCCAATTATGCAATACAATTAATCGAAATTAAAATTCCATGAATTATTAAATAATAGTTACGACGAACCTTCATCAAGCATGACGATCAATATTTGGAGCAAATAATTGAAATGCGAACAGCGACACATCCAACACATGGATATTTGGAGCATACTCGAGTGATCTATACAAAACAGAAGAAATAAAATAAATTCCAAAATTAATGTAATTCTCTAATTATGCGAATAAAATATTTTTTTCAAATTATTTGATCTTATTCATTCTTTTGTTGTAAAAAAAAAAAAAAACAAATATAATAATAAATTATCCCTTCCTTCTTTTTTTATTTCATTTTCGGTTAATCCATTTTTAGAAATGTTATTCAATATTTAATCTATTAGTGAAAAATAGCAAAAATTTCGATATATATTTTTAGATTTTATTCAATTCCAACAAATAAATCTTAAAATTAAAGAAAAAAAGGAGAAAGAAATATATGTGTCAAGGTGTTAATTTAAATTTAAAAGAAAAATTAAAAAAGAAAAAGAAAAAAAAACTTTATGAAATTAATTTCTTTCATCTATCTCTTACACACATACAATCATCTTGATCAATAATATTGTCAGAAAAATATCTGGAAAAAATGCAATCAAATTTCATTTTCATATTTCCTTCCCTTCTTCCTGTCTTTTTTTTTTTTTTTAAATCAAATGTTATTAGTTTATCTTAAACATGTTTTCTTCTTGATGGAAAATGAATATTAGTGGGATAAGATTGTTGATGTTTCTTCAATTGTTGAAGCTAAAATTCAGTGCTTGCAAATATTTCCATTCTAGAATTGATCATTTTCATTCAAATATTGATCGTCCCTTTAAGGATGCTTTTCTAACGATAAGTGCTTTGCGGAAATTGGTATTGATTTAGGGCGTTTTCATCATTTACATTTTTATTCATTCATCGTTAGACATTTTCTTCACTTACTTTTACTATGCTTCAACGAATAATAAACCAAACTTTCCTTCTTTACATATTGTTTAAAAGAAAAAAAAAAGAAGGGAAAAAATGTAAATGACGTGATCTGATTTTTTAGAATTTCCAATATAGCAAAAAAAAAAAAAAGAAATGAAATTCCAAATTTGTATGAGTGATTTGAATCATTTGTGAAGAATTTTTGGGGGAAATTTTTTAAATTATGACAAGAAAATAAAGGGAAAAAAAGGTGCTGTCTTCATTTATCGACGAATATTTACGAATAAAATCTCTAGCAATAATTTGTAGTGATATTTTGCTATATTTTCTAAGAATATTGTGATAATTTATAGAAAAATTTTTATAATTTGTAAATACCTTCATTTGACAAAGTTATAAAACTTATTTTTATTTATTTTCTTTTATTTTGCAAATTGTTTAAGCATACAATAATCAATAAGTGCTTATCTTTGATTCTTGAATTAAAATTATCCATATACTTTCATTGAATATTAAATACTTATTGATTTGTTTTAGTCAATTTGACGTACTTGTTTGCTACTTTTGTTTATTTCGCCTTATCTAACAATAACATTATCACACAATGAATAAAATGATTATTCTCAATATATCCTATTATTTATGGTAAGCTCTTGATGATTTCTTTCCTCCCTATCATTCAATCCATTTCTTGCAAACTTTTTTGTTTATTTGTTTACACAACAAATATATACAATAATATAAATTATATAGCTGTTACTAATGCTGGTTGATTGAAACGATGACTTTAATGGGAGTATTTTGCCTATAAGGGCTGAATATCGAAAAGGGTAAGGTGGCAATAAATCGGACAGCGTCACGTTGTGCTGGCGGCACTTGGCCTTGATTGCAGTGGAAATTTGGGGAATTCTCGGGTAGCACTCCGAGAGTTTGGGACATCAAATTGCATAGTTAGTTGTCCTTTTTTTCAAATATGAAGGTTTTGAATTAGTCCAAATTTGTGCACTATGTGTGTGATGAAATTTGCTGAAAAGTTTAATTGATTCTAACTAATTTATGCAATTATTTATTTCATTTTTTTTTCCTTCAGAAATAGAGGAGATTAGAAGTTTTCGACTTTTTTGAAAATCTGAGTATTCCTTTTATATTTTCCATTTTTTTTTGCTAGGAAGAAATCAGCGGAAGAAAGTGAAAATTAATAAATATTGGCTGTTTTGTATAGCAGTCAAAAATGCCTGCCGTGAAAGGGGATGGAATGCGCGGCCTTGCTGTTTTCATCTCGGATATTCGGAATTGTAAAAGTAAAGAGGCAGAACTGAAACGGATTAATCGAGAATTAGCAAATATACGCAGCAAATTTAAAGGTTTTTCTTTAAGTCCTTTTTTTTCTACTTTTAGTTTTTTTTTTGCGTAGAAAAGAAGTGATATTGGTATATTTATTCTTTCAGTAAAAGTTAATTCTATTTCCTCTATTTGTTTCAATGTTCAGTAGCATTTTTTTTCCCACGAAACATTACCATTATTTGTTAACAACTTGGCAAAAGTAGAATATACCAGTAAAATTCTGATGCACCAGCAAAATTCCAACAAGAAAAAGTTACAATCATGTAATTATAACTTCTGTAATAACTGGATAAACTTCTGCAATGTCTGGATGCTTTAACATTGGTCGTTCTGCACAAATTTTAAATTAACTGATTTCGTTCTGCAGGTGATAAAATGATTGATGGTTATCAGAAGAAGAAATATGTTTGTAAGCTTCTATTCATTTTCCTTCTTGGTAATGATATTGATTTTGGCCATATGGAAGCGACTAATTTATTAAGTTCAAATAAATACACTGAGAAACAAATTGTAAGTTCCATTTTTTGTAAGTTGATTAAAAGGAGCCTATCAGGGTGACAATAAGTAGGAAGAAACCTAATTGACTTCAAGTCAGAGACATTCTTACTTTTATTTTGTTTTATAGGACCATCTGTTTGTTTTGTTATTTTTTTGTTTTCTTTTCAGGGTTATCTTTTTATTTCGGTACTAATAAATAATAATTCCGATTTGATCAAATTGATTATTCAATCAATAAAGAATGATCTCCAATCACGCAATCCTGTTCATGTTAATTTGGCATTACAATGCATTTCAAATATTGGTAGTAAGGACATGGCTGAAGCATTTGCTCAGGATTTACCAAAATTGCTGGTTTCCGGGTGAGCGTTTTCTGATATAATTTGAAATTCTGCCGTCGTAATATTTCGAGTCGTACACCTTTTTCGAAAGTGCTACATCCTTTATTGCTTCTGGAAATTCCCCTGTTGATGTGTCGTAACATTGATGTAAATTTAGCGAAACAAAAAAAAAAAATAATAGCATGGATTTAGCATTTCTTTTTAGATTCTCGAACAAAGAGCTATTAATACCGTGGTTATTTTTTACTTTGTTTTAGGGACACAACCGATTTTGTGAAACAAAGCGCAGCATTATGCTTGCTGAAATTGTTCAGGATATGCCCGGATGTTTTACCGCCTAGTGAATTTTCTTCTCGCATTGTTCATCTCTTAAATGACCAGCATTTGGTGATAGTTTCAGTATCTTTGTAGGGATTTCATATTTGCAGTTCTTAGATTTTCATCATAGTCGCGTCTTTCGAAATTTCGGACTTTTTGTTTTTCTTTTTTATGCAGTTTCTTCAGATTTTGCATTCATTTACTTTTGAATTTTAAATTTCAACTGAATTTATTTTTAGGGTGTTGTTACATCAGCTGCCTCTCTAATCGAAGCACTGTCCAAGAAATGGCCTGATGAATATAAAGGATGTATCTCGCTAGCTATTTCAAGGTTAAGTCGAGTAAGGTTTTTATTTTTATTTTTAATGACTTTTCAAACTTAGATCAACTTCAGCCGTCATTTTGTTTCAAAATTATATAATATAATATTAGGGTAATGCACCTATCAGATTATGCAGAAATAGCTATACAACGTTTGGAAAATCCATTGCAGATTGTGACTGCAGGTTACACCGACTTGCAGGACTATACTTATTACTTTGTGCCAGCACCTTGGCTTTGTGTGAAATTATTGAGATTACTACAAAATTATCCACCACCGGGTAAGTTTTTGTTGTAGCTTCATTGAACTTGATGTACTGTTACGTTTGATGGGCTCCGGTGTGGAATAAAATAATCTTATTGATAAATTGTAGAAGACCCAAGCAACAAGTCTCGTTTAATGGAATGTCTAGAAGGAATTTTGAATAAAGCCATGGATGCTCCAAAGTCGAAAAAGGTGCAACACTCGAATGCTAAAAACGCAGTGCTCTTTGAATCAATTGCTCTGATCATCCATATGGATACAGAACCAAGTTTGCTTGTTCGAGCTTGTAATCAACTAGGCACTTTTCTATCTCATCGTGAGACAAATTTGAGGTTATTAAATAATTTTAAATATTGTTTTATTTAGTATATTTAATACCGCAGTTTGATAACTGTAGAGAATTATGAGTACTTAAGATTATTGTAAGTCACCTTCGGAAGATTCATTATCAACATATGCGTCATTTAAACCTTAATAATCCTGTAGGTAGTCTTGGGATTTCCTCATGTGTTTCATGTGTTTTTGTTATTGTTTTCTATCGAAGTTGTTTTTTATCGATTTTCGATAATAGTAATTTTAGGTATCTTGCTTTGGAGTCGATGTGTTTATTGGCAACATCAGAATTTTCACATGAAGCTGTCAAGAGACATCAAGAAACCATCATAAATAGTTTGAAAACTGAAAGAGATGTTTCAGTTCGCCAGCGAGCGGTTGATTTACTGTACGCCATGTGTGATCGGTAGGTCAAACAAATTGAAATTCTTCTAAAAGCGAATTATAATTGTTTGGTGAAGTCTTTGATGATTGTAAAAATTTATGATTGTCAAGTTGTTAATTCTACATACTTTTAGATCAAATGCTGCAGAAATTGTTTTCGAAATGTTATCATATCTTGAAACAGCTGATTATTCAATTCGAGAAGAAATGGTTAGTGCTTTTCGGATTTCCGGATTTATTGGGCAGTATTTGGATATCTTAATTTTTTTTGGTTTAAATGCGTATTTCATCATTGTTTGGTTTTTCCAGGTGCTGAAAGTTGCAATTTTGGCTGAAAAATACGCTACAGATTATACATGGTATGTTGATGTTATCTTAAAGTTGATACGAATTGCTGGTGATTACGTATCCGAAGAGGTTTGGTATCGTGTTATTCAAATTGTTGTCAACAGGGAAGATGTGCAAGGCTATGCAGCTAAAACTGTTTTTGAAGCGTTGCAGGTAATAAATTTGATTGCCATTTGGTCTTGTAAATTCTTGGCGATGTACGAATCGACTGAAATCATTTTGTATATTTGTGTATAAAATAAATATGAATATGATTTGTGCAGGAAACTGGTTTTAGAGACCAGCTTGTCATGAAAACATGGTCAAGGTTGGAGGTTACATACTGGGAGAATTTGGAAACTTAATAGCTGGAGATGCGCGGTCAAGGTTAGTTGCATAAAGTTAAATTTGCATAAAGTGTGCACTTCTCGATAAATGTTGAATTTATTGCATTCTACATTAAAAGTAATTTTGACTCATTTTAGAATTCAAGCAAATACTGAATATTGAAAATGCGTTTTTTAGTTATATTAAGTTTCATCTCTGATGCAGAATTATATTACAGCCCACCAGTTCAGTTTGAACTTTTACACAGCAAGTATCATTTGTGCTCTATTGCAACAAGATCCCTTCTGTTATCAGCTTATGTTAAATTTTGCAATTTGTTTCCAGAAATCAAAGGAATGATTCAGGAGGTAAGCGGGCAGCATTTACAATGTTTGTGGCAATATTTGTATTATGAAGAGTACATATTATATATGTTCTTCAATTTTCAGGTTTTTCGGATGGATCACAATTTGCGTAATCCTGACGCTGAATTACAGCAGCGTGCCGTAGAATATTTGCAGTTATCAAGAGTTGCTTCTCCAGATGTTCTCGCAACAGTAATATATCTCTTTCTGTACCAGTTTCTTTTCATAGATTCATTCATTAGTATTAAATTTACTGATGAATTTTAGATACTGGAAGAAATGCCACCTTTCCCAGAGAAAGAAAGCTCTTTGCTCGCGAAATTGAAAAAATCGAAACCGCATGTCGAAGAGCTTGTGAATCAAGCTGCTGAAAAGAAACATCGTCCAACTGCAATGATGAATCATGCAAGTTCCTTTTTTATATTTTAGATGTATTCATACAGACTACATTTCACTCATTAACATTTTATACGCTTAGATTTTCTTTACTGTTTTGGGAGATTTTGCAGTATGTGAGATTTTACAGGATAAGTAGAAGTCCTATTTTATGTGGCCTCTTATTTCAGGACACAAAGCAAACGTCAGGTCAGTTGCTAGATATCAGTCCTGGTGTGGAATCCAAGGCTTTGGTAGATATATTTAGTTCTCCAACGGCAGCAAACGGTGTACCGTCGACAATGGCTTCAACAAATGGTGAACCTGCTGTAGATAATTATCCAGATGTTTTAAAGTTTGTACTTCGATCAGTTTAAGTTTAAGTTATTTGTTGTGGATTTATAGTGAAAGAAATTTTATTAAATGCGATTTATCTATCGAAGAAATAAATCAGTTTGCTTTGCATTACAGGTTTGCGACAAAAAACAGCGGTGTTCTTTACGAAGATTCAACGATCCAGATTGGATACAAATTAGAAACTCGGGCTAACCTTGCACGCTTAGGAATGTTTTATGGCAATAAAACGAATTATTCATTTACTGATTTTAGTCCAAGCCTGTTTTGCTCCGGAATTCTGAGTAGTCAACTGATTGCACAGGTATTATTGATTTAATAGCTTTGTCGTGGTGAATTTAGTAATTTTGAAAATTGTATGTATTAGAATCTCTTCACAGTGTGAGTCATACTACAAAAGTATAACGAATACTATGGAAATTGCTTTTTGATAACAAGATGTATTTTCCACTGAAAGGAAGTTCTTATTGCAGTGCAAAGCAGTAGATAGTACCATCACAGGTGGATCACAAGTGCAACAGTTGATCAATTTTGTATGTGAGCAAGAATTTCATCGTTGTCCTCTTCTTCACCTCATTTTCACTTTTTAGTAAGTTTTAATTCAGTAGAACTTATGTGAAACTTTTTATGTTACACATGTTCGAGTTTAGTCATTGCTTACTGATCCAGTGTTGGTAGACGTTTTTGAAATTTTCATGTCAAAATTAGGTCACAATCATTTGGCTTTTAAATGTATAATATTCAGGAAGTGCCAACACATCAATGTTGAAATTTTCTAGAAGCTAGATTTTATTTTATTTTAATATAGTTTTACTCCCATTGCTGAATAAGTGTCAGTTTCAGTGATGTTAACAATAGGCAGCAGTCTTTTGATAAGACTTTTGCACTTCCCATTTTCATCAACAAATTTTTTGAACCAACTGATATGTCCTCAGAACAGTTTTTTACTCGCTGGAAGCAACTTTCTCAGTATGTCACTTATTTTATTGTTCCATTATGTGTATTTATTTTTGTCATTGGTTACCTTATCAAAAAATAAAAAAGACGTAAACAACATTATTTATAGATCAACTCAAGAGAATCAAAAAATATTTCCTGCAAAATTACCGATAGATCGAGAACAAATCAGAACAAAGGTAAATTAGCGATGTTATTCGGTTATTTTTCGGTCTTTTAATTTCTTGATGTTTCGATTTTTTAAAGATGCTTAAATTGTCGTCTCCATAACCGTAAAATGTGCTGCCCGAATTACTGATTCTTTTTACTTGCCAAATTCTAAAGCGAAACTCGTTAGAGAATAAAAATTAAAGCGATTGAAAGTCTTACTTTTGGAAATTTCCAAGGTGTATTTGTGACTGAGATAGTGATAGCTAAAAGAATGGTCTTTGAAGCTAAGTGGTTTTGGACCTCGGTTGTTGCAAGAAGTAGATCCAAATCCAGAAAATTACGTTTGTGCTGGAATAGTCAATACGAAAATGCAGCAGATTGGTACCCTTATTCGTTTGGAACCGAATAAACAAGCAAAGGTTATTCGATTTTTTGCTCTTTTAATTTTGATATGGTATTGGCTGCGGAACAATGTGTTAAACCACTTTTAATATAAGATTTTAATTTTACTAGTATTTATTGTCGCCGTATATTTTCTTCCGGTCATATTGATGCATGCTATATTGTCTTTCACTGTGCTATTGACAGTATGTTTGAATCATACCGCATATATTTATAGGCTTAGAGTTGTAACAGTCATATAGCAAACAGTTATTACGATTTACAAATAGGCATAAAAATGTGGACAGGCATGCTTTGCGTCATTATTCGAATTTTCATGTAATTGCGTTCAAATATCTTGTTTTTGCATGACCTAAACAATCTTGGCTTAGAACCTATGACTAGATATTGTTCTAACAGGCTAAGCAGTGTAATTATATGACTATAAAAGAGAAAAAGAAATGATGAAAAAGGATAAAAATGTGTGCAAGGGAGGAAGAAAGATGATTACTATCGATTCCAAGTTAAGATTTTAGTTTGTTTTACTTCTGAAATCGTAAATTTAATGCAAGACCTAAGAATTAATAAAATAATGTCCCTTATCAGTGTTTCATCATTGGAATATTTACAGATGTATCGACTGACTGTGCGGAGTTCGCGTGATACTGTTGCAAGTCACTTGTGTGATATATTGTCGCAGCAGTTTTGATTTTGTTTAATGATTGTTAACTTGAGCTAACCTCACTGTTTATTTGAATTCGGTTTATATTTATAGGATATTGATAAAAGCAATAGAGCTGAAAAGTTTTTAACAAAATTTTTTTTGTCGTAAACTTTTTGAATTTTCATACATTCATTCATACGTATGTATATAAATACATACCCTCACATATATATACAAATATGTATAGTTGACAGTACATATATAGTCATGTGAATAAGTTTACAGCATTGGTGTGCAAGCATAGTACTGTTTACTTTTTGCTGATTTTCATTTTTTTTTTTCTTTTTGTAAATCTTTTGCATAAGGAATTGTCACAAATTTATTTATCTCTCTTTTCACCTTTTCCTTAATCGATAGCAAATATGTGGGGTTCATTTTTCATTTGTATTATTACTTGTTTATCAGTCATTATTCAGTCATCATTTATTACGAAAAATAATTCATATTGACTTTTGCTATTCTTTTTATCGAAACTCTTTGTTTTAAAATACTGATTGCACATTTCTTCAAAATTGTAGACGGTGATATTAAAACTAAAAGAATGATCAAATGATGTATGAGGTGCTAATTTCATTATTTCATGGTATACGTTGCGATATGTTATGGTATGTTTTGAAATACTGGAAAGTTTTTGCAAATTTGCTAGCGAGAAGTACGAGGTAACATTCGATAGAAATCAGATGCAAAATGTTTGTAGGATTGAGCAATAGTAATTCGAGATAATAACGGCGAATTTATTCAAATATGTAAAAGATCTGTAGCAGTCAAGAATCATCCCTGTTATGGAATTGTATGAATTATGTTTTGACTTGCGGTTATACATTGTAAGTGATAATTAGCATGGTGGATATATTGATTGCTGTTATTTTAGTTGCTTATTGTTCATCCAGTGTTTAAATTATTTAAGCCATAATTTTCTTGATTTTCGTATGCTAGAGATTATGCAATATTTTATTTCTACTGTAGAAAAAGGATGTGTTTTCATTTTTCGAAGATTTCATATATTTCTTGTGATAATTAAAGATTGAACTGTGTTATCATTCCTTGTAATGTGAATATTGCTCTTTCTACTTTCAAATGGCCATTTCGTTACCAAATGCATTTCATTTTAAAGTTGACTAATTTATTTTCACCTACTATAAATGTATCTCTCCCAGATATGCTTAACGAATAAATCATTAGGCATGATTTTTCATACAATTTAACAAAAATTTTTAATGATATATGTAGTGATAATTCAGTTTAGGTTAATTGTTTATGAGCATTTTGGACATACTTGAAATATATATATCAGTTTCTCCTCTCTCTAACATCTACTAAAAGTCACTTCATTTATTATTACAGTTAAGTCTAATTTATTTTATTGAATAAATCTGTGGTAATTATGTTTGTGGGCTAACATTATCAATAATTATTCATGTTCCATCATGGGGGATTATCTACCCTTCGGTTTAAAATTGTCTTATCACTCGTATTACTTAATCCCATTTCACACAACAGAATTATACATCACATATATGTAAGAATCAGTTGAAATGGAATTTTTCAAATGCCTTAAATTTGCATTCTAATTTTATTGATGGTGGATGTGAGGTGAAAAATTTTGTTAAAATGTGAAATTATATCCAACGGAGGATATCGTATGAAAATTGATAATATGAAAGTTTGGAAGGAATGGATCAATTTAGATTGTATTTATGAAGTTTTTAACTAATTATATAAGAATTTGTAGGGATTTGTTGTGTTTTCTTTTGGATTACTTTGAGTTTGTTTTTCTTGTGGGAAAAGGCATATTTAGTAAATACACTCGAATGTAATTGTTCCAGGTATCATTTGAAATTACATTTCAAATGAATATAGATTTAACTGCGTAATCGATTAATCAATAATATCAAATCATTTGCTAATTTCGATCAATAATATTGACCGTATGATTTGAATTAAATTTGTTTCATTGTCCTACCATTATGTATATTTATATCATTCATCTTTTCATCCATTTATCCAGAGTGCTAAAAAGACATTAATAACCTGTTTTGTTGTATTAAAAAAAAATTTGATAAAAAAGGAAAATTGATAAAGTTAAGTAGTAAACCGTTTGAAATTTTTTCCTAAGTTTTGTTGGAATTAAATTTAAGGTTTAGTATGTAATCTTGTTTCCTGGAATGTTTTAACTTTCACATCCATGCTATTGATAACAACTTTTTTTTTATGGGAAGAGAGAGAAGAAAGAGAAAAAGGGAAAAATATGTTTACGAATCAAATGTTTTTATGTTTATGATCTTTAGAACAGGGTTTATAGTATTTTGTAATGTGCAAAATGATCATTAATTGATTTAATCGATTTTCATTCCAGTTAAATGTTTGTTTGTGTGGAAATCTAATAGTTTAACTGATTAATTTCCACAAATATTTATTAACAATGAACTCGATTGTGCCATGGTTTGCACAAGTTCACTGTGGTAATCGTAGTCCCAATAATCAGGATGGTTTTTCAACTAATTCATTATCCAGAATAGCAGGACAAGATTCAGGTAAATTCCTATTAAAAATTACCTGATTACTATAATTTTTTTAAAGAAAAGTTTATCACAAATAGAATTTAAATAAGAAAAAAGAAGAATAGAGTGTATTGTTTAGATTCAGATGCAGATACTCATGATGAATTGGATGGTATCTTTTCTAAAATGAATCCAGTCAGCAAGTTAGCCGGGAAAAATGTAAAGGTAAAAATTTTTCTACGTGTTATTTTTAATTTTTTTCTTCTTAATTAAATTTCAATATTTCAGGAAGGAAGTTTGGAACGAAAACCATTGCTCTCGGAACGAATTCAAACATTGTCAGGTGAAGAAAGCTTGTCACCCAGCGATCGACAAAATCGC